TGCCTCAGTTCTGCTCCTATGACTTTCTATTGAGTTTTCTAATTCTGAAATTTTATTGTTAATCCTCTGGATTTCTGATTGCTGTCTCTGTATGGATTCTTGAAGCCTATTAAATTTGGCATTATGTTCTTGAATAACTTTTAAGTTCCGCTACTACTTTGTCTGTGTGTTGCCTGGATGTTTCTGCATTACGACGAATTTTCTTTCTAATTTCTAGAAGAGTTCTGTATATTAATCTTTTGTATTCTGCCTCTGGTAATTCCAAGAAGTTCTCTTCCTCCAGAGAATTTACTGATTCTTTATTTTGGGAGCTTGCTGAAGCCATCATGGACTGCCTCTTTATGTGACTTGATATTGACTGTTGTCTCAGAACCATCATTAATTTATTAGAATTTTATTTTGTGTTTGTTTAGGGATACGTAGCTTCATATTTTGTTTTGTTTTGATACGCCCAAATAAGCTGCTCATGTGCACTAGTTTGATTTTTGACACCTTTGAATCTCTTATGTCTTGTTACCAGGTGGTTAGTTCTGTAAGAAAGTATGTGCACACAGGATTCCGTTAAATTTTCCTATATGGGTTCATCTCGGGTGTCCACAGAGTTAGTCAACAAGTGTGTGATGCAGGTTCTCACCCCCAGTCCTAGAGAGGCATGGGTGATTGGTGCAGGCACTGGACTCTGGCTGTGGTAAGGGATCATGTGCTGAGCCAGGCAGGGGACTGACGGCTGCCCCTGAGAGTCTGAAAGGAAAGCATGTCCCTATTCTCTAGGGTGAGTAGGTAGGTGAGTTTTGCAGCTGGACTATGAGCACCCCACTCTGTTGGCTGTAAAGACTTGAGGGCCCCACTTTTTCTTGGACTCCTGTAGCAGGTGACTATTCACTTTAGGTGATACCACCAGTCCTCAAGCCCCTGCTGCAGATTGATAAAAGTGCCTACTTATGGGGCAGGGCTGTTTTGAGGGTCACAAATCTGTCAGTTCACAGCTGAAGCAGTTGAAGTTAAACTTCAGATGTCTGCCCTGTTGTACTGTGGTAGTGAGGACTAACACTGTTGAGATGGGTCCCCACAAGTCTATACAAGGGTGTAAGACACTCAAAGTCTGCAGACCCCTTATTCTTGTGCCTAGCAAAGGAGCTGTGCTGACCCTGTGTTCCTGGCTTAGGGGAGCCAGTAGCTTATTTGTTCCCTCTCCAAGGCCAGGAGAATGGGTCAGGGCACCTTTTGGGATCTACTTCCACCCCAGCGGACTCCCGGTGCAGAGCACGGAGGGAGGAGGTAAAAGGGATAGAAATTTTTCCCAAATGGACTTTAAAAAAAAAAAAAAAATCCCTGCAAAAGGCTTCACACATGTACTTATCTTAGCCACTTGGGAGCTGCTTTTCACTGGTTTGAAATGTCCAAGCAGAATCTCTGCTACCAGGTCTCTCTTGATGTGGAAACTGCTTCACGAGAGCGTGCACAGCACAGCTGTTTGCCTGCTTCACTACGGACCAGTGTGGCTGCAGTGCTGCAGTTTTGCCGGCACAGCTCTGGCTCTCTTCACTTCTTCCAAACTGTCTACCTCTCCCCTATCACTCAGACGGATTCCTCAACTTTGCCTTGTTCAGGGCTCCTAGATATTCATATAGAATCAAATCACTTGTTTTTCTACGTTTTTGTTGTAAGAGGGATATAGGAAGCGTCTAACTACTCCGCCATGTTGGCCACACCCCTCTGAGCCAGTCTCTTTTGAGATATAAAAGAGAGAAGCAAGCAGAGAGACATGTGGACCTCATACCACCAAGAAAGCAGTCCTGGGAGCAGGGAGTTTCCTTTGGACCTGGAATCCCTGCACTGAGAAGCTCCTAGTCCAGGGAAATATTGATGAGTAAGACCTTCCTCCAGAGCTGACAGAGAGAGAAAGCCTTCCCCTGGAGCTAGCTCCCTGAATTTTGACTTCTAGTCTCCTAGACTGTGAGAGAATAAATTTCTCTTTGTTAAAGCCATCCACTTGTGGTACTTCTGTTATAGCAGCACTATATTACTAAGACAACTAGCTTCAGCCATTCAGGCAATAGGAAGACATGACGTGCAGATCCTCTACATAGGAATGAAGGACTTACTGCTGCATTGCCCACATGAAAAGATTAGTTTTTACTTAAAGTTCATTGGAATGCTGAAGAGATGTGATAAGAGTCCTGTTCTGTGTATTCTGAGCAATCCTCTGTTGGTTATAAAACAGAAGGAGATGGGTTCTTACTGTTGCAATTATTTTGGCATGAGGTGGGTCAAGAGTGACATCAAACAATAATAGGACTACGGCACTTTCTAGAAGAGGTGTTGCCACAATTCTTAAAAAAGTATACATTCCTGAGTGTCCTGACAACTGATTTATAGATACCCCATTTTCTTTGACCCCAGAGTGTCATTTGCTGGGAGTTTCCATGCACTGGACAACGTCTGTGGATAACCATGTGGCTTTCTTCAATGTATCAGCCATGGGTAATCAATTGAAAAGCCTCTTTTATGCATAGGCTTTCCTGAGAGTTTGTTCTATGTCCAGAGACCTCTAGGCCTTGTCCTTATATTGCAAGTTTCTTGCTTTCTGTCAATGGTCAGCAGCTTAGCTAATGGATTTCTTGTGAGGGTACTGATTTTATAGATACCTTTGGAAATATCTCTAAAATGATAACCATATGAAAATGATATTCTCTTTTTTGGCCTCTCTGTTACTGCTTTTTCCTTTAAAAAGTGTTTCTAAACACGATCCCTGTTGTCCTGTTTTCATTGGAGTCATTCCAACCCCAGGAAACCTGAAGAAAATACGTGAACACTGTGATCCAGTGTGACACTGGGTTTGAAGGAAGACATCTGTGGTAAGTATCTTGAAGTCTAAGGGGGTTTATACCTGGAGAATGACATGGCTCAGGTCTATAATGACAACTAAACTTGTCTTGAAGAGAGATTGACATAAAAATCATGCTCAGTAGTATTTTGCTAAGCCTTGTGAGAGAAACTCCTTTTGCCCAACCTTATTTATCTTTTTCAAAGTGGACCTCTATTTTAATTCTTTTCACCTCCCTCAAGTAATTGAAAATACCTAAGTGACTGATGATTGTCAGGCTCATTCCTTGGTTCTTTCCTTTTTGTGTGATGTAGAAAGACCTGCTTCCAAGAAATTCACCGTTCCAAGGATTCAAGGTGAGTGATTCTATGTCATTACAACTGGTCCCATCTGACACTTGGACAAGTGAAGATGGATCCCAAAGGCAGTTGGGTTTTGGGAATCAGATGAGATATGTCCCCTTTTTTTCTTGACCTTGACTAATTGAGTAAGTGGTTGTGATATTCATGGGTGAATATTTAGGATTCATGGAAACTTGGAACAATTTTGACTTTAGTACTTTTTGATACCCTTGGGTCCCATCCAATATGTCCTAGTGAATTGGAAGAAACACACAACTAGACAAATGAGTTTTCTAAAATATTTATGGAATGTGAATAGCTAGGAGCTATAGCAGCTACACTGGTAAACTTCCCATGATTCAACCCCTGTGTCAGTTGAGGCCAGAACCTTATGTTCTCCAGTGGGTTTTCCCATAAATATTGGAATTGGGTAACTGTTGATTATTCTGTTACCTGACTCTACCTTAAAAAAAGGTAGCTACACAGATTTCTGTGTAGAATAGATAATGTGAGGAAAGACGCCAGTTTTTAAGGGGAAACATTGGACATGACTGGTTTCAGGAGTTCAGGCTAAAGAAAGTCATGAGTGGCTGATCCTCCACACAGGGTATTAAGGTCTTAACTGCTGTCTTCCACTTGCAGAAAGATAATTTCTCTCGGCAGTTCACTGGAATCCTGTGATGTGATAAAAGTCCTACTCTATGTATCCCAATGGATCATCTGATAGTTGAAAAACAAGAGGCGATGACTTCTTTTTGTTGAGATTATTTTGGCCTGAGATGAATCAGGGCCCTTTATAGGTCAAGAGTGACTTCAAACAGTAATAGACTATGACACTCTAGAAGCGATGTTGCCACAATTCTTGAATACATTTTCGAGTGTCCTGAGAGCAGTTTTGTAGATCCTCAGTTTTCTGTGATACCCAGGTGTAATTTCCTGAGAGTTCCCATGATTGAGCAAAGGCTGTGGATACAGATATGGCTTTCTTCAGTATATCAGCTGGGGCTAATGAATCGAAAAGCCTCTTCTAACATGGGACTTATTGAGTGTTTGTTCTTTATCTACAGAGGTCTAGACCTTGTCCTTATCTTACATGTTTCTTGCTTTTATTAATCGTCAGCAGCGTACCTAATGGTTTGCTTACAGGGGTACTGATTTTATCTATCCTTTTGGGAATATCTGCCAAAACCATAGACATACAAAAATGAACTATTCTTCTTTGATCTCTGTCTTACTGCTTTGTCCTTTAAAAGGGGTTTCTGAGGACGATTCCTGTATTCCTGCTTTCATTGTTGTTATTCCAACTCCCCCAGGAAGAGGATGTGGAAACATTCTGATCCAGTGTGTCGCTGGGCTACAAGGAAGAAAACTATGGTAAGCATCTTAAGGTTTAAGGGGGTTTATACCTGGGAGTGACATAGCTCGGGTCAACAATCACACCTAAACTTGTCTGGAAGAGAGATGATGGCATAAAAATGCTCCATAGGATTACGCTGAGGCCAAGAGGGAAATTTCTTTTGCCCAACCTTATTTATCTTCTTTAAGGTGGACCCGCATTTTGATTTTTTTCACCTCCCAAAAGTGATTGAACATACCTGACTGATGTCAGTCAGAGTCATTCTTGGACTCTTTTTCTCTTTTTGTGTGATTTAGAAAGACTCACTTCTAAGAATTTCACCATTCCAAGGATTCAAGGTACGTGATTCTATGTCGTTGTAACTGGTCCCATCTGACACATGGACAAGTGAAGATGCAACTCAAAGGTAGTTGGGTTTTGGTAATCCTATAAGACAAGTCCTCCTGTTTTTTTTTTTTCCTTGACCTTTACTGAATAAATGGTGATGATATTCACTAGTGGAAGTTTAGAATTCACAGAAAGTTAGAACAATTTCAACTTGAGTAACTATTGATACCCTTGGCTCCCTGTCCAGTATGTCATACTGAATTGGGAGAAGTGCAAAACTAAACAAATGTGGCTCTAAAATGTTTATGGGATGTGAATGGCTATGAACTACACCAACGACACTGGTTACCTTGCCACAATTGACCACCCGTGTCAGCTGAGGCTGGAATATTTTGTTCTTCAGTGCAGTTTTTCCATGAATCTTAGAATTGGATGAACTATTATGTAGTCTGATACCTGACTGTACCTTTAAAGAGAAGGTGGCTACACAGATATTTGTATGCAAAAGCTAAGGCTAGGAATGATGGCAATTGTTAAGAGGGAGGCCTTGAAGATGGCTAGTTTCAGGACTTCAGGTCACAGGAAGTCATGATTGGCTGATCCACTTCACAAGGAATGAATGCATCACTGTTGCATTCCATATGTAGAAAGATGATTTTTTTGACAGTTCATAGGATTCCTGTACAGATGTGATAAGAGTCGGGCTCTGTACAGACCAAGGGATCCAATGATTGTGGAAAAACAGGAGGAGATGGGTTGTTTCCATTGTGATTATTTTTGTGTGATGTGGATTAGGTTGCTATGTGTGTCAAAAGTGACATCAAACAGTAATAGGACTATGGCTCTTTGAGAACAGGTGTTGCCACAATTCTTGAAAAGAAATATATTTCTGAGTGCCTGACAGCTGATTTGTAGATCCCCAGTTTTCAGTGACCCCATGCTGTCATTTCCTGAGAGTTCCCAGGCACTGGACAATGCCTGTGGATGCAAATATGGCTTTCTTAAAAATAACAGCCAGGGATAATCAATGGAAAAGCCTCTACTTGCATGAGAACTCCTGAGAGTTTGTTCTGTGTCCAGAAACCTCTAGGCCTTGTCCTTATCTTTCATGTTTCTTGCTTTGTGTCCATAGTTAGCAGCCTACCTAACAGATTGCTTGTGTGGATACTGATTTTACCGTCCCTTTGTTAATATCTGCTAAAACCATACACATAAGGAAATGAATTTCCTTCCTTTGACCTCTATCTGACTGCTTTGTCCTTTAAAAAGGGTTTCTAAGATTGAAGCCCCCCCCCCCCATGCGCGTCTGTCAGTTTGTTGTATTGTGGGGGCTTGCGTGTTGCTGTGATGCTGGCAGCTATGCCACCAATATTCAAGTACCAGCAGGGTAACCCACGGTGGACAGGTTTCAGCTGAGCTTCCAGATTAAGACAGAGGAAGAAGAAGGACATGACGGTCTACTTCTGAAAAGAGTTAGCCAGTGAAAACCTTATGAATAGCAGCAAAACATTGGATATCGTGCCAGAAGACGAGCAGCTCAGGTTGGAAGGCACTCAAAATACAACCAGGGAAGAGCTGCCGCCTCAAAGTATAGTTGACCTTCATGACATGGATTGAGTAAAGCTTTCAGCACCTTCATTTGCTGAGGTGGCATGACTCAAAATGAGAAGAAATAGCTGCAAATATCCATTAATAATTGTAACATGGAATGTACAAACTATGAATCTAGGAAAACTGGAAATTGTAAAAAATGAAATGGAACACATAAACATCAATATCCCAGGCATTCATGAGCCAAAATGGACTGGTATTGACCATTTTGAATTGAATACTCGTATGGTCTACTATGCTGGGAATGACAAATTGAAGAGGAATGGCATTGCATTTATTGTCAAAAAGAATATTTCAAGATCTATCCTGAGGTACAAAGCTGTCAATGATAGGATAATATCCATAGGCCTACAAGGAAGGTGAGTTAATACCACTATTATTCAAATTTACACACCAACCATTAAGATCAGAGATGAAGAATTTGAAGATATTTACCAACTTCTGCAGTCTGAAATTGATCAAACACACAATCAAGACGCATGCATTGATACTTATTGGCAATTGGAATGCAAAAGTTAGAAACAAAGAAGGAATGGTAGTTGGTAAATATGGCCTTGGTGACAGAAACGATGCCAGAGATCACATGATAGAATTTTGCAAGACCAATGACTTCTTCATTGCAAATACCTTTTTTCAATAATGTAAATGGTGACTATACACATGGACCTCACCAGATGGAATACACAGGAATCAAATCGACTACCTCTATGGAAAGAGACCGAATATCATCAGTCAGAACAAGGTCAGGGGCTGACTGCAGAACAGAGCACCAATTGCTCGTATGTAAGTTCAAGATGATGAAAATTAGAACAAGTCGACAAGAGCCAAAGTATGACCTTGAGTATATCCCACCTGAATTTAGAAACAATCTCAAGAATAGATTTGACCCATTGAACACTAATGACCCAAGACCCGACGAGTTGTGGAATGACTTCAAGGACATCATACATGAAGAAAACAAGAGGTCAATAAACAGGAAAGAAAGAAAAGACCAAAATCGATGTCATAAGAGACGATGAAACTTGACCTTGAACATTCAGTACCTAAAGCAAATGGAATAAATAATGAAAGCCAAAGAACTAAACAGAAGATTTCAAAGACCGGCTCCAGAAGACTAAAGTATTACAATGACATGTGCAAAGGCCTGGAAATAGAAAATCAAAAGGTAGAACACCCGTTGGCATTTCTCAAGCTGAAAGAACTGAAGAAAGTATTCAAGCATCTAGTTGCAATATTTGTGCATATGAAAATGAACTCTTCTTTGAACTCTGCCTTACTGCTATGTCCTTTCAGATAGGTTTGCAAGGACAATCTCTGTTGTCCTCCATTCATGGGGGTCAATCTAACCCCCCAGGAAACTGGAAGATGAAGTGTGAACACTCTCATCCAGTGCAATTCTGGGCTGGAAGGAAGATATCTGTGGTAAGTATTTTGAGGCCTAAGGGAATTTTTACCTGGGGAATGACATGGCTCAGTTCAATAATGACACCTAAACTTGTCTTGAAGAGAGATAATGACATAAAAATCATGCTCAATAGGATTATGCTGAGGCCCAGAAGGAAACTCCTTTTGCCCAACTTCAGTCTTCTTCTTTAAAATGGACCCCAATTTTGATTTCTTTCACCTCCAACAAATGGTCGAAAACACCTAACAGACTGACGATTGTCAGGCTCATTCCTTGGTTTTTTTCCTCTTTTTGTGTGATTTAGGAAGACCTGCTGCCAAGAAATTCACCATTCCAAGGATTCGAGGTGAGTGATTTGCTGTTTTTTAGAAATATTTTTTATTGTATTTTAGATGAAGGTTTACAGAGCAAATTAGTTTCTCATTAAGCAGTTAATACACATATTGTTTTGTGACACCAGTTGCCACTCCCACTACATGTCAACGCTTCCCCTTCTTGACTTTGGGTTTCCATTACCAACCTTCCTGTCCCGTCCTACCTTCTTGTCCTCCCCACTGCTGCCCATTTAGTCTCCTTTTGTTTTATGGGCCTGTTTAATCTTTGGCTGAAGGGTGAATCTCAGGAGTGACTGCAGTACTGAATTAAAAGAGAGTCTGGGGGCCATACTCTCGGGGTTTCTCCAGTCTCTGTCAGTAAGTCTGGTCTTTTTTTTGTGAGTTAGAATTTTGTTCTACATTTTTCTCTTGCTTTGTCCAGGACCCTCTATTGTGATCCATATCAGAGCACTGGCGGTGGTAGCCAGGCAAAATCTAGTTGTGCTGGACTCAGTCTAGTGGAGGTAGTGGTAGTTGTGATCCATTAGTTCTTTGGACTAATCTTTCCATGTGACTTTTGTATTCTTCATTCTCTCTTGCTCCGGACAAAATGAGACCAGTGGAGTATCTTAGATGGCCTATCGAAAGCTACTCACCAAGGTAGGATGTAGAACATTTTCTTTATAAACTATATTATGCCAGTTGAGCTAGATGTTCCCCAAGACCATGATCCCCACAGTCCTCAACCTAGGGAGTTTGGATGTGTCTATGGAGCTTCCATGACCTTGCCTTGGACAAGTTGTGCTGGCTTCCCCAGTATTGCATACCGTCTTACCCTTCACCAAAGTTACAACTTATCTATTGTCCAGTTAGTGTTTCTCCCTTCCCATCTCTCCTCTCCCTCATAACCACCAAAGATGGTTTCTTTTTGAGTGTAAACCTTTTCATGAGTTTTAAAATAGTGGTCTCATACAATATTTGTTCTTTTGTGATTGCTTTATTTCACTCAGCATAATGCCCTCCAGATTCATCTGTGTTGTGAGATGTTTGGCAAATTCATCATTGCTCTTTAATGATGCGTAGTGTTCCATTGTGTGTATGTAGCATTGTTTATGCATTCGTCTATTGATGGACACTTAGGTTGTTTCCATTTTTTTGCTATTGTGAATAATGCTGCAATGAACATGAGTGTGCATATGTCTATTTGTGTGACAGATTTTTTTCTCTAGGATATATTCCTAGGAGTGGGATTGCTGGATTTCTATTTCTAAGTTTTTAAGGAAGTGCCATATCGTTTTCCAAAAGGTTGTACCATTTTACACTCCAACCAGTAGTGCATAAGAGTTCCAATCTTGCTGCAACCTGTCCAACTTTTCTCATTTTCCGATATTTTGATTCGTGCCAGTAATGTCAGGGTAAGATGGTATCTCATTGTGGTTTTGATTTGCATTTCTCTAATGGTTGTGATAGCAAGCATTTCCTTATGTG